ATAGCAATGATAGCGAAGGCTATGGCGACGACAAATCTCTCCAATCGGTTTGGAGTACATACAATATTTTCGTGGTCCTAACACCGACCCTTGAGGAACCCCGAAATCTAGTACTTTGTCATGTGAGGTGGCAGATCCGATGGCAACACACTGTCGTCGTTCACTGTATCCAGCATAGTGCGGTATCAGTCACTCCATAAGGGTATTCCAGATGTTTATAAAGTATGCCATGGTCGATGACGTCAAATGCAGCTGGCAAGTCCAGCATGACAAGCACCGCTTTGCACTTGTTATCCAATGCAGAAGCTTTATCACTATGTACACGTAGGAGGGCCGTCTCAGTAGAGTGTCCCATGCGGTAGGCCGATTGCATGTTGTCATGGAGACTGTTTGCTTGGAGATGAACCTCTTAACGCCGGCACACAACCTTCTTCAAGATCTTAGACAGAAAAGGCAGATTTGAAACTGGGCGGTAGTTTTTCAACTCCTCCTTGTCCATTCCAGGTTTTTTTTAACAATGGTCTGACATGATTGAAACATAATGGAACCTATGACTCAAGCAATGATTTATTCATGATTGCGGTAATCAAAGGAAGCAGTGCTTCAAGACATTGCTTTAATAGGTTTGTAGGCAGTGGATCAAGCTCACAGGACTTCGATTGCGAGATACATGTATGTCTATTTGTGTTGTTCTACCTGAGTTAAACCGATTTTAAGTTAAAATCGTGGTTTGATATCGTTTAATACAAAATAGAAAATAGAAGAAGTAAGTGTTTTATCTGCATTAAATTGTGTCACGTCATTAATGTCTACATCAAATTGTACCACGTTTCAATGCCTTAAATAAATTATCTATGCATTACCATTATACTACATTAAGTTAAAGCGCACAGAATCGTTATTGAATTTCTGGTAACTGTATATAACAATTCTCTGTCTCGTTATTCATCATTTCGTAATATTAATATATAATATACCCTTCACTTTGACGGGAATGCTGAATTATATTTTAAATTAAATTTTTATTGACCGGAGTTTGTTTCAAGGCAAGTTGTGTTTAAATACCGCGTTTCAATCGATACATCAGATATATTTACGGTGAAAATTTAAAGTTACCATGCGGTTATTTGAGCACAGTAACAATATACAGACATAAACTGTAAAACTTACTTTCGGAGCTTTATCCCACACGACGTAATATCAATCAATCGATACATCAGACGTTGCATCCGGGAATACCAAGGCTCCATATATAGTTCAAACAGTCAGAACAATAAAGAGGATAATTATTTATTTACAATAATTATTTATTTACTACTTTAAAGTCTATTCTTTCTCTTTTCCGCATGGAATTCAGGTACAGGGATTCTCTATAGTTGGTAATTTCGCTAGACTCGCAGTCATCAAAGATAGCGCGAAATTAAACATCAAGTGAATTTGTCATGACTATGCCGAATTTTGGAGATAAAACACCACAATCTTAAGCTAAGATTAAGCTTTCCTATGTTGCAATGTTGGTGAGCTTAGGGACAGTAGTAATTTTATTGTTTGAACTTGAGTAGGTCTATGTAACTTTCTCTTCGATCCAGAGAGAAACTAAATGAGGTTTAAATGTATGAAATGCTCACATAGTTTGTTTGTAATATTTAAACCGTATTATGTGTATGATCCCATTAATACAATAGGTTTACTTTACTGTATTTCTTGCAAAGAACAAAGGATTTAAGGGAAGAGTATAATGTATATGAACTAATATCCAGTTCGCTCATTTATTAATGTGATGACCTTAATCGCGCCCCTTTTTATCATTAGACTGAAATTCAAGTTACGTGTATCTGTTTTGTGGAATTAATTCAAATATATTACTCATAAGCAATCAATTTGTCACAAAACATTCACGTGCAACGATTTCCTCTTCTTCCTCAACACCGCATCAAAGGAAAATATATATGACATGCAAAAACGCGTGTACCTCGTTTTAAACCTCATGCATTAGCCACAAATGATTAGATCTGCATGACTTAAAGATTATCTTCTGTACGATTTAAGCATTATAATGTGTATTGTTAGCTGTACAAGACACGAACCCATTGTTTGGAATTTAAATGGGTTAATGATACACTGGGCCAAATTATTATGTACCTAACTACCAGTACTAGTATTTTTCGACTTGCATATAATTATTGAAAATAATGCAAAGGCGTCGATACCTATTATTAGGAGTT